CATGTGTGTGTGGTACAGACCTGCCATGTGTGTGTTGTGTGCATGTGTGTGTGTGTGTATGTGTGTGTGTGGTGTGTGTGTGTGTGTGTGTGTGTGTGGTGTGTGTGTGTGTGTGCGTGTGTGCCGTTTGTGCGTGTGGCGTGTGTGCGTGTGTGCGTGTGTGTGTGCGCGCGCGTGTGTATGTGTGTATGTGTGTGTGTGTGTGTGTGTGTGTGTGTGTGTGTGTGTGTGTGTGTGTGGAATACAAAATTAATTAATGCAATGCTGTCCGCCGTCATGCAGATTGTTACACGACTTGCGCAGCGCTATAATCAACAGCAAATCGACGGGGGGAAGGTTAAGGCTCCTCCAGTAGCTCCATGCCAACCTACAACCAGAGCTCACGGATTACTGTGACAACAACGCTACGAGCCAAGTAAGGAAGCTAATGCGGCTTTCTGGGGGTAAACCCTGAGGTACTGCATATTAATTTTACTTCGCGGCTGCGCAGACACAGATAGAGTCACACACGTGCGCAAGCACAGCCCTGGACAAGTTGGCATTGATGCCATGTGGACACTGGACTGACTATTCGAGGGATCACCACAGAGTTGTTAAAATCGGAGGGATATGGTCCCCCCCCCCCCCCCCCCCATGCAGGTGCAGAGATGGCGGACTCGTGCGCCTGTGGTCCGCCGGTTACTTGATTGCGGTGTGTACAAGCGCACCAGGTGTATGTGTACAGGTGCGTGTATGCTAGCGCATGCGTGTGAGTGTGAGCATGCGTGTACGTGGGCCCTATGGGTATAGGGTCGCGCAACCACACACATGCGTGAACTTACACTCATTCAGTTTGATTGGTTAGTTAGTTCTTATCAGGAGTGGATAATATCTATTATCCACTCCTGTTCTAATCTTATCTATTCAGATTGCGTCTCGTCGCGGTTCTATTCGTTGACCATGTAAGCACTGCATGTACCTACACTTGCTATATACTTTCACTCTTATTATAGCCGGCGGGGCTGGTGAGTTAATAACAGAGTTTATTACAGAGCCAATGTTGTCCGTATATATTTACAGATTAGACAACGTCGTGTTTGAATTCGAATTCGATTGTTTGAAACATTCTTCGCATTGAATTCGGTTATATGAATATCACTGCCAGATCTAGGCAAACGAAATATAATCAGGATGATAAATCTGAGCGGTATGACTAATTAAAGCGAGAAATAAAAAACTAATCAAAATATAACGTCAATAGTACTCGACGATCTGCAATGATCTTTTCCACAAGATCCTAATAATAATTAATTGTCTTTCCTGTCTCCAAGCAGTGTAACCAAAAAAAAATAACAATACAGCTGGTAATGCGAATGCAGTTTCTTTTAGACCGTTCCGCCGGCGAGTTACTGGTTTCCACCGATTGGTGGGTGTGGGGGATGAAGCCTCCCATGTGAATGGGGATGTAGAACCACGCCCCGCTCTGCTTCAGGTATAGCGGTGATACTAAAGTTGGTAGCATTTATAGCGGGTTTCTCTCTTTGTACACCTCGCTGTAGCAGCTATGTATGTCGTTGTAAAAATTGGCCACTATAAATAATTCAACCTGTTACCCGAGTATACTGTGATGCGCAGGACCCGATTACAGATTATAGCAAATTTCATCAGGGCAGTAGCCCTACACGTTAGGTCATACTCTCTAATGGCGATAGAGGAAGGTACAGGTATCAAAAGAACAAACCCGATTGTCGGCAGCTGGCTGCATATTTATTAAATAGCCTACATTAAATTTCATTTACTGCGAAGAGCAACGCCAAGTTTTTGAGTAGAACCCCCTGCGTTCATTCACCTCCAAAATTTACGTATATTCAGTTCTATTCATTTCGTATCGCGAGTAAAATTGCATAATTGACAAATTTACGCTTTGGGCGAATCAGATGACCGGGTTGTGCGGAACACCGGGCGGGGTATTATTGTTGTAACTAGTTAATTTGCATTGTTTAATTAATTTATATATTTATAGAGCTAATCGCAGTCTGCACTTGTTTGCTTGAAACAACAATGGCTGCGAGGCGCTGTGGCCAAATTAAGTTCAAATTTCTTCAGGCGTCGATATACATTAACAGGACTAATGAGGACGGCGTGCGCCTGGACCGGGCTTAATTATTTGGGGCAGCATCGTAGGCAAGCCGTCTTCAGTTATTGTAAATGATATGTCAGGCACGCTAACAATGCGTCATTGTGTTAACCGTTTGTGCAGGGGGTGTTCTGAGGTAGGGGCAAATTCAGTTTTAACTTACTGATTTTTTTTATATCCCTTTGGCATATTTATGAAATTTTTCACTTTTTCCAATTATTTGTAAACCGTGGCGCTGAAACGCACAAAGATTATTATCACTTTTTTAGTTTTTTAACTTTTTTTGTGTAGCCTTTAAAGGGCGCTATACATCAACTCCGTTATCAATTTTGTAACGGGAGTGATAATTTGTCATGTTTTGGCCTTGTTGGTGCCACATGGGAGCAAGGGCAAGATGTAAATAATTGTGTTTTATTCAAGAGGTCAAATATATGCTGTCTTCCTCATTCATGATGTTTGTGTTTCCTATTGGTTATTTATCATAACAATTTCGTAAACAGAAGTGATGAATCATTTAGTACGCATTTATTTTTGCAAATTTTTCCCTGGCTGGTTGGTCTGATGGTCTGATTGGTCGATTTGGTCTGATTTGGTCTGATTTCGATCTGAATTGTCATTGGTTAACTCCATTGTTATGAATAGATGGCAGCCAATCACAGCGTAAGGAGTTGATAAAAATTCAGGACAATAGGTCGATCGAGGTTCACACCGATGGTCACAGGCGCAATAAAGCTTTGCTGAATTACAGTTGAAACAAAGCAACTCCCACCCAACTAGATTTTCCCAATCCCTGAATGATGACTAACAGCTTCAAATCATTGATGGAAATTGGCTATCATGGGTTAGACAAGGCCATTTGCGACATCTGAACATTGAGCTTAATTTTTTTTTAAGAAATCTTATGTAATGAAATCCATGTTCAGTGCGCTAATTTTTACCATGATCCAATGACAATTCATCAAACAAATAAAATTGATTCAAAACATGGCAAGTCATTGAAGAATTTCTGAACGCTAAGGGTGGTCAGGACGGCAATTTGCGCCCCTACTCTCAGAAACGACCAGTAACTAATATTGTAACAATTAGCTTATAGCGCCGCGTACCGTCTATAAGCGTCTCAGAGTAGCCTATATACCCAAGCTTAACCTCGCATGGCAGTGTCCCTGATGTCTTATCATAATCGGTCAACTTGATAACTCGTAGTAAGCTTTTGACTAAAGTCGATAGCGTAAACATACGCCGTAAAATGTTGCTTGTTGTTGCGCAGAAGGATGTGACTGAGTCGCATCCTACGTACGTGTATTTAGAATAAGGTGTTTGAAACTTTAACGTGCTCTGACGCAAGGCCCAGCGACTGTGGTCGTTCCAACAGGCAGCAGGTAAGGAGACAAACGTGGCTCACGTTCGGTGCCTTCTCTGTTGTCGCATCGCCTCAGTGCAGCAACGGCAAGCACGAGTGCGTTCTTGATAGCAAAACCATTACACTACGACAACATACACAGCAGGCAGTCGCATCTAATTCGCTCTCTCTCTCTCCTTCTCTCTCTCATCCTCTCATCTCTTCTCGTCTTCTCTCTCCGCGCGAGCGCCTCTCTCTTCTCTCTCTCTCTCTCTCTCTCTCCTCTCCTCTCTCTCCTCTTCTCTGCTCTCCTCTCTCTCCTCTCTCTATATATATATATTATATATATAATTTATATATTTCTCTCTCGACTGGACAAGATTAGATTTATGTGTGGAATGGTAATGAAGAAGAACCTCTAAAGCGACTTCTTCATTGGATATGTCGTAAATCCGCGCCGGGCAACGCTGCGGCCACGGTTGTCCCTCCTCTGCTCCTCTATAT